AATTGATAGGGCTTGATTTGGCAAAAAAAGCCTTATGCTATGTAAATAGAAAACAAAAATGCAAAGTTTCCTTTAATTTATTTCTATTTATATCCCGCCTTGCCTGCACAGGCAGGCTCAAGGTGGCGTAAAAATACAATAAAACACAGATGCAAGAGCGCAATACTATAAATTACTATAACATTTCACAACAGTATATATAAAAGTGCAGTTAAGTGCAGATGGCTATTGCTGTAAGACAATCCAATGTAGCTAAGCCAGTATCCGAGTTGTTCTTAATGCCATTAACATGAGGGCCATAACAGTTCAGTTTTTAATAGCTCGATCATCAGTGGCAGCTCCTCATTGAAGGCCTGGCTGCAGCATTTTGTACTAGCTGCAGCTTCTGGATTTGGGCCAACAGCAGCCCCATGTAGAGAGCGTTGCAGTAGTCCAATCTCAAGGTGACCATAGCATGGATCACCGCTGTCAGGTCATTGCGTTCGCGGAAGGGAACCAACTGTATGATCAGCCATAGATGGTAAAAGGCTGCCTTGGCAGTGGCTGCTACCTGGGCCTCCATTGTTAAGGCGGCATCCAGGAGCCCTCCCAAACTCCTGACCCTCGGCGCTGGCACCAGCGGCGCCCCATCGAAGGTCAGTGATAAGATCCCTACCCCCAACCCGCTCCAACTCAGGCACAGGACCTCCGTCTTCGTCGGATTCAATTTCAGTCGTCTCAGTCTAAGCCAGCCCGCCACATCCTGAAGCGCCCGGTCCAGGTCATCTGGGGTAGAGTCGGACTGACCGCCCAGCAACAGATACAGCTGGGTGTTATCTGTGTATTGGTCACACCCTAGCCTGTGCCTCCAGGCAATCTGGGCAAAGGGGCTGTTAAATAACATTGGGGATAGCACCGCCCCTTGGGGAACCCCACAAGCCAGCGGGTACCTCTGGGACGTCTGCTCCCCCAATGTCACCCTCTGTCCCCAAACCTGGAGAAAGGAGGCAAGCTCCTGGATCCCAGTGTCGGTGAGGCGGTGGATCAGTAACTGATGGTCGACCGTGTCGAACATCACCGACAGGTCCAACAACAACAGTACAGCTGTGCCGCCCCGATCCAGATGCCTCCGGAGGTCATCTGTGAGGGTGACCAGTGCCATCTCTGTCCTGTGGCCTGGACGAAAGGACTGGAAAGGGTCTAGCATGGAAGTGTCATCCATAAAGCTCTGCAACTGAATCGCCACCGCTCTCTCAAGTAATTTGCCCAAATAGGGCAAATTTGAGACTGGCCAATAGTTGGCCAATTCAGCCGGGTCCAAGGATGGTTTTTTCAAGAGAGGGCAGACCCTCATTTCCTTGAGTACCCCCGGGAATAGTCCCCCTTTTACCTTGGAAACAACACTTACCTAAAGTAGTGTGTATGTACGTGAAAGCTTTACCCAGGATTAAAATTTTTTGGTCTTAAAAGTGGTAGTGGACTCAAACTTTGTTCTGTTGCTTCAGACCAACGTGGCTACCCACCTGAATCTGATCATAAGTAGTATTAGCAGGGGTCATTTCGTAGAAAGAGAGCTGCAGGAGCTCATTAGCATAACTTATTAGCATATGCCCCACCCCCTGACATCACCGGAAGTGTGCACCAGCCCCTCTGACAGGCAGAAGCACCTGGTATCCATTCTTTCCCCCCTCTCCCTTCCTTCCCTTCGCCTCCAAATCGGGTGAAGGAAAAGGGAGGGGGAGGATCTCAGGCGCTTCTGCCTGACAGAGGGGCTGGCGTGCCCACAGCCAGCTTGGGTGAATTATAGAATCATAGACACCATAGGGTGCGTTCAGACGCGGCATTTGCAACGGTATAGGTGCCGGTTGCAATCGGTGTACTCACCGGCGTTCACACATAGAACATCTGCCTTCCGTCCCTAACTGTTGCAAAGCCCTTTAAACCGTTGTACTCTGCCGCTAGTAGAAAAAGAGCTGCAGGAGCTCATTAGTATAACTTATTAGCATATGCCACACCCCCTGACATCACCGGAAGTGTGCACCAGCCCCTCTGACAGGCAGAAGCATCTGGGATCCATTCTTTCCCCCCTCTCCCTTCCCTTCGCCTCCAAGTTGGGCGAAGGAAAAGGGGAGGGGGAGGATCTCAGGCGCTTCTGCCTGATAGAGGTGCTGGCGTGCCCACAGCCAGCCTATGTGAATTATAGAATCATAGACTCATAGAGTGGGAAGGGACCTCCAGGGTCATCTAGTCCTGCACAATGCAGGAAATTCACCAATACCCCCCACACACCCCAGTGACACCTGTTCCATGCCCAGTATATGATTAAAAAAACCCCTCCATGTTCACTGGGGGCCAAACTGGCCTGGAGAAAAATTGCTTCCTGGCCCCAAAGTGGCGATCAGCATTTCCCTGGGTGTGTAAGAAAGGGCCACAAGAACTAAGCACTGATGGAACCCTTCCTGCTCTACCTCTCGTGATTTGCCTAAGTTCACACAATCAGCATTATGATCCTTTTAAAGTTGAAAGCATGATATAAATGCAAAGGACTATTTGTAAGATTATCTGTAAGACACAAGACCAGGACGCATCTCACTTCTGGCAATCACTTGGAGAGACCCTATCACTCAGCTTCCATTGCCCCACACACATCCCACACTGGAATAAGAACATAATATCAGGCCATACCACATTGCAATAAAGCCCCTACAACTGTATACAGAAATACTGAGCTTCCCTACCATTTGCCACAACTAGCCCACCACACAACCAGGATCAAGACTCCTAAGTGGACCAACAGACAGGCATACACTCGTTTGAGAAACTGAGTATTACATTACAACACCTCTGGAACATTACAGATCAGTAGAGGCAGCACTGCACAGTGGTCAGAGTTGCAGATTAATGTGGGGAGACCCAGGTTTGTATTCTCACTCTGCTGGCTGAGTGACCCCGGGCCAAATCTCCCTTTCTCTACCTAACCTACCTCACTATGTTAAGAAATCTCTCACGATTATGCAGCCAAAGCAGGCAGGAGGGAAGGAGGCAAATACCTCTAGCGCCAGAGACTTGTAGAGCAAGAGTCAAACTTTGGGGACTCACCCGTGCACCAGAGGGCCAAGGCAGCAGGAGGCAAGAAGCCTGGGCTCCTCCATGCCCGGCAGAAGATGAGGTGCAGAGGCGAGAGATGGGCAAGCAGAAAAGGCACTCAGCCAGCCGCACAAGCTGCACGCAAAGAAACTCCCGCCGCCAGACTCGCAAATGAGAAAAAGCAAGCTCAGGGTTCGTGGGTCGCATTTTGGGCTGTGGAAGAACCAGCTCAATTCCTGGAGTTCTCTTGAATTCCTGCGCTTTTGGTTTTGCTTTTTGCCAATCCGCCTCCCAAGACTGCTCCAGGTGCTCCGGCCTGAGGGCTGCTGGGGGAGGGGCTCAAGTGCTCATAGCTTGTGGAGCTGAGGCTCAATGTCTCCAGCTGCTCCGCCACCTTCCCTTGGCTTGCTCAGGATCTGAACTGAATGTACCCCTGAAAAAGGCCCATTCAGCCCCTTTCAGGCTGCTGCAGGCCGGATCAGATTCTCTGTTCTAAATCTGCTTCCCGCAGTTCAGCCCCATTATATCCTATGGGCCATTGAAGTCAATGGCGAAAACATAGGGTATATTCTGGGGGCTGGAGGGAAGGAAGTTTGAGGGAGAGGCTCCAAACTCGCAGGGTAGCTGCTGGAGCCTCTCCCCAAGATACCCTCCATGTTTCAGGAACATTGAACCAGGGGGTCCAATTCTATGGGCCCCCAAACAGGTTGCCCCCATCCCCTCCATTGTTCTCTGGTGGGGGGAAAACACAGGCGTTGCAGCTGCCACCAATAGCAACAGCAGCCATAACTTTTTAAAGAGCCCCTTCCAAGAGCTGGGGGAGCCAGAATGACCTCTCGCGTGTGATCACACGTGAGAGGTGGAATTTGCCCCCACCACCCCGGGGGCTCAGGTAGGCAAGGGAATGTTAAGGAGTAATTAATTATGGAGTATCCGTGATGTATTGCTTGCATAGCTGTAAATTCCATTGAACTCAGGTATTAGCTTCTGAATAGTCAGGCATAAAGTTGAGGGTTCAAACCCTTCTTTTGTTCAGCCTTAGCTTTTCTTATACCAAAACACCTTAAAGTGTGTAAGAAAATACCGTAACCTACCTCTTTTCCTTCCATCACTTTCACTGTTTGCTGTAGCATTCTGATCCAAGTAGTACAGCCCTACGAAAGGTCACTCCATAACCAATGTACAAAGTTTTGAGTCCAGTGGAACATTTAAGACCAACAAAGTTGAATTCTGGGTACACGAAAGTTTATACCCACAATCCATCTTTGTTGGTCTTAAAGGCGCCACTGAGCTCAAACTGCTCCATAACAAATGTGTTAGCCTTCAAGGTTTCACAAATCTCTGCGCTAGTGTTTGTTTTTATTTAAAGACGCCAGCTTCTACGACCTTTGCACTGTAATGTGGGCTGTACCGGGTCACTACAGGGAATACTCGCACACAGAAGTACCACAGAAGGGCATTTTTTTAAAACGGGTGCGAGCGAAAGTCTTATGGGCTCAGCCTAGGGTTGCCATCCTCCAGACTGGGCCCGGAGTTCTCCCGAATTACAACTGGTCTCAGGACTACAGTGATCAGATCCCCTAGAGAAAATGGGAGCTTGCAAGGGCAGACGGGATGGAATCCCATTCCTATGAGCACGTTCCTCTTCCCACCCAGAGTTGGCAACGCCGCCCCAGCTCCACGGGCTCAACTAGGGAGCCCAGCGCATCCGCCTACAGCCGCTTGATCTCAAGCTCCTCCCCCGTGGGTGAGAACCCCGAGTCTGAGCGACAACTGCTTCGGCAAATAGGATCGCGGAATTCTCTCCGAACCTCCTGTGTCTGTAAGTGCCGTCAACCCGCAGCCGATTTATGGCGACTCCAGCAAGGGGCTTTCAAGGCAAGAGGTGGCTTGCCATTGCCTTCCTCTCGGCAGCGTCTTCCTGCGGACCCGGCTTAGCTTCTGAGAACTGAGGAGATCGGCCTCTACCCCCCCCCCCTTCCCACCGTCCTACGGGAAGGCTTTTCAGACTCGATATGACCCTCCCTGCTTGAATGATGTTTCGTCTTGCCAATCGCGTTCTCCGCCTCCTGATGGTGACCTTGAAGGGCTGATGAAAACTTAGAGCGCGAGGGACGGTAAGATGGCCGCGGCGGCAGCAGCAGCGAGGGGGAGGGGAGACGGCCCTCGTTCTGGTGGGAGAGGGGAGCCACTTTCCCGCGCGCGCGGGCGGCCGTTCCTTTCCTCGCGCGTGGGCAAACGGAGCGGCGGAAGGATGCGTGCAGGAGAGCCGCCGGGGAGGGAGGACCTTTGGGAGCCCGATGGAGAATCGGGGTGGGGGTTTTCTGCGTTTGGGGGAGGGTGTGAGGGCGCGTCTTCTCAGGCAGGCAAGAGGGTTCTTTCCAAGAGAGGATATGTTTTTAAAGGGCGAGGGTAGGAGAGGTTTTTAAAAAAAACACATTCTTTTTGTTTTGTTTTGCGTTACGATCCTAAAGCCTTCCCCTTCTACTTCCTCCGCATCCGACGGGGTTTTTTTACACACCGAAACCACCGCGAATTATTTGCCTGCACTTACAAAGGAACAACAGAGCAAACCAGGATTCTGTTTTTGATGCTTACTTTTTATTTAATGGAGTGTCTCAGAAGATGGGAGCTGAACAGTGGTTGACTGGAAAAGAAGCGGGATTAATATCCAGAAAGGGAGGGGGAGGGTGTTTCAGCAAAGTACTCCCTTAGCTTCTCGGGACTGGCATTCTGTCTCTGTGGGGGTTTCTTCCGTGGAAATGGGATAAGACTGAGGTTATGAAGGAGGCTGGGGACGAGGTGGAAATTTGGGAAGAGATGATGTTTCTGGTCTTAAGTTGGGGAGCTCATTTGGAAGAACTGGTTTAAACACAGGAGGAGAAAATTGTTACCTTATGCATAGTAAGACCATGGAGAATTTAACACTTAAGTTTGTAGTCAAGATGTGATTCACATGAAAGGGGGGGGTTATGTGTTTGGTGTCACATTGTAAATAAATTGCTGATGTTTCTCCTTGTAGGGGTTGACATGAACAGAATTCGCATCCACGTTTTGCCCTCCAGCCGGGGTCGATTAACCCCAGTCCCAAGGCCACAAGAGGCCTTGTTGTGTGCGTTTGCTCACCGCCCATGCTCTCAGCCTCGCTTGGAGGGCCATGAGTTCTGCATTAAGCACATTCTGGAAGACAGGAATGCTCCTTTCAAGCAGTGCAGCTACATTTCTACTAAGAATGGGAAACGGTGCCCAAATGCAGCTCCCAAACCTGAGAAGAAGGATGGGTATGTGTTCCATATCTTCAAACTCTCTAGTGACTGATAATATATAATATATCTGCTCTCATTTTGAGATGTAGGAGCAGGTAATTTGTGATGTGTCTTAAAGACAAATAGATGAATAATAGTGTTTAGTAGTTGTGGAACACATTGGGGTTTTTTTTGCCAAATCAAGCCCTATCATATCTTGATTAGGCTCATGCCAGCTACTCCATTACTGCATTTAATTAGACTTTTGCCTGCTTTTGGTCTGTCTGGAAGTATATGTTGTAGGTCAGTGGTTGTGTTTTAAAAGGAAGACACATGAGGGATTCCTTTCCTTTTTGCTTTATGCTTTCTCAGGACATGTCCCAGCAAAAGAGGATGGGGGGGAGTTAAGGGTGGGTCTGCAAAATTATAGGTACTTCTGTGTGTGAGTATACCCTGTAGTGACCCAGTTCAGCCCACATTACAGTGCAAAATCTGTTGCCTTAGTCAGAATGTTTATCCCATATCAGCATAATACAAACAACTGAGAAAGGTTCTAAAAGGTACTTGAGTTCAAACTCTGTAAAATCTTAGGAAGGGACAGCTGCTGAGAACACAACAAAAGTAAGTTTTATATGTCTAGCTTGGATGGCATTCATGTACACATCATGTAGTTGCTTTGGGTCCTAGCTGATTTTGAAAGGCACATCTCTCCAAAGAGCTGTGGTACAGCTCCTTAAGTGTGCTTTGGTCGTGAATAAAGCATTTGTTTTCAAAACATGGAATAGTTAATTGATCCAGCATTTTTCCCATTATACTATTATTTTTCCCATTATACTAGACCAGTTGTCCAAAACTATGTCCAGTAAGAATTGTTCATTTGTTACAAGAAATGAACAAAGCACCTATGAGTGCAAAGCATCTACTCTCAAGAGACTGTTTCACTTATACATAATTAATTGCTCTGGTTTTCCTCTTTCCAGTTAGCAGGCATGCCCCTATCAAATAGGGGGAGGAGTGGGGATGGAGAGTTAAATAAGTGTGACAGCCTCTAGTGCAGGGGTGGCCAAACTGGCTTAATGTAAGAGCCCCATATAAGTAACATCAGATGTCTGAGAGCCACAAGACATGAACCAATATTACACATGTTTTTATTGGAAAATATGCAAATTTGCTTTTTATTAACATTAAATAAGACTGCCAGAAATAAAAATAAAAAGGGTAAAAACAGGTATTGATAATTATATTTAAAGAGACAAATGGGGGGTGGGGGCTTTGAGAATGCATTTAAAGTTGCTTTCTTTCTCCCCCCCCCCCCCCACTTCAAGCCTACCCACGGAGGGGAACACTGGCTGGGGAAGGGAAGACTGCCTCTTCTTCACGTCCCCAGCCACCCTGCCAGGAGCCGCACAACATGTGTGAAAGAGCTGTATGTGGCTCCCGAGCCGCAGTTTGGCCACCCCTGCTCTAGTGGAAACAGAGTCCTATTTATCTGTTGCATTGCACTGAAACACAGGGTGAGCTTCTTGGAGTGTGGGTAATTTCCATGTGAAGTACTGATAGGGAGTCTCTGTGTGTCAAAGAGTGGCATTTTGCAACCAGCGTGAGCCTCTGAGGTGCTAGCAATGCCACTGGGCTGGCAGCATGGAAATAGGTGTGACAGACATGACTTCCATTAATGCCTGTTAGACCCACATAGTGGGCCCAGCTGTCTCCCACTATGTCTGCCCAAGTATAAGCTGCGTCTCTCCTCCTCCTCCCCCCCCCATTTTGTTTGCCAGCACACCAACATCTTCATAGGTAGACATCGTGTTTGTTTTTGTTTGTTTTTTCACTTGGGCCAAAAAGGTTGCCAGCTTCTGCTGTAAAATTAAATTTCTTCTGGCTGTATGGATTGGCTGTCAGAAACATTTACTTAAGCACAGGATTCATACGGGTTTTTTTGTTAACACTATTAATAATTTTTATAAATAATAATAATAGACATATCTTAATATATGGGAAACAGGAATACAACAGCAACTCAGTAAACAAAGAACAAATCATATCACTAACAATTAGGGTTCCACTGATGAGCCTAATTAAATTGATAGGCAAGTATGCAATAACATACAGAATTCGAGCTAATAATGAAGTATTTAAAATACTTAAAATTTGGCTACTTAATAGCCCAAGGTGGAGCTGTATTTCATAGGCCATTTGTGATTTTGCTGTGCTTCAAACTTTTATTTGTCTTGTTTTAGCAACTATTCAGTTTCAAGATGTGACATTACCAGATACTCCATGATATGCTGCTCTGCTAACTTTAGAATACCTTGATGAGGAGAGTTTACTGATGTATGGGTCTTCTGTTCTGTATTGAAGTGCTGCGTGTTGTCTTGTCATCTGCTCTTATCCTCTGTTGTCTGCTTTGCTTTTTGTTCAAATGTGACCTGGTGAAAGTCTCAAGTCCACTTTGTCTTTTTCCTTGTTAATAACAAAACCTTGTTGCTTTAACAGTAAAGGTTATTAAAGTTTGTGAACTATTAAAATTCTGTTACTGACTAGAACTGGGTACTGTGTTCTGTATTTGACAGTGAAATTTAAATGATTTGCCCCCCCTACAAAATTTAATTGACATTGATAGTTTTGTATTCTCTTATGCTGTCCATTCCTTTAAACAAAACAAAAACACAATTCTTGCTTGTTTACTTGAAAATAGATGGTACTGAGGTCATTAAATACTGAGGTTTCTATTTTATCTTTCCATCTAGTGTGTCATTTTGCTCTGAGCACGCTCGCCGAAATGCTTTGGCACTGCAGGCTCAAATGAAGAAGTCCAATCCTAGCCCTGTACGAGAGTCTCTCCTTTGTCAACTGAGCTCCTACGCCAAGACAGAGCTGGGCTCCCAGACTGCAGAGAGCAGCCGTAGTGAGGCAAGCAGGATACTAGGTAAGTTGAATAGGTGACGGAAGGTTTGGCATATTTATGATTCTTGTCATTAAATCAGAATTTATTTTTTTAGAAATTATAGATCTGGTTGATGTGGCTTACACCTAAAACAGTACAGCAAAATTAGCAAGGGCATAAAAACCTCATAAAACAAACATTGACCAAACCAGTGTTCTATCTAGTCCAGCATCTTGTCTCAAACAGTGGCCAACCGGTTCCGCTGGAGGAGCAACAACAGAACATAGAAGCCATAGTCTTCCCCTAATGTTGCCTCCTAGCACTGGTATTCAGAGGTTTACTGCCACTGAATTTGGAGGTTCCCTTTAGTCACCGTGGCTTGTAGTTACTGACAGACCTATCCTCCATGAATCTGTCTAATCCCTTTTTAAATCCATCTGTACCTGTGGCCACCACTATGTCCTCTGGCAGTGAATTCCACATTTGAATCATTTGTTGTGTAAAGAAGTATTTATTTTTGTTCATCCTGAATCTACTGCCCGCCAACTTCATTTGATGCCCCTGAGTTCTAGTATTTTGGGAGAGGGATTCAATAATAATTTTATATAACCTTATAAACATTTATCACCCCTTTTGTCTTTTTTTCTAAACTCTTCAGCTTTTCCTCATAGCAACAGTGCTCCATCCCTACAATTGTTGTTCCCCTCCTCTGTACTTTTTCCAGCTCTCTGTCCTTTTTGAGATACAGTGACCAGAACTGCACACAGTATTCCAAATGAGGCTGCACCATAGATCCATGCAAGGGCATTATAATATTGACTGTTTTACATTCAGTTCCTTTCCTAATAATCCTCAACACAGTGTTTGCTTTTTTCACTACTGTGGTGCACTGGGTTGATATTTTCATCGAGCTATCTACTATGCCCTCAAGATCTTAGTGTGTACCTCTTTGGGATTGTTCATCCCAATATGCATCACCTTACACTTCAGCGTTGAACTTCATTTGCCACATTGCTGCCCAGTTACCCAATTTGAAGAGATCCTCCTGGAGCTCTTCATTCAGCCTCAGTTTTCACTATCCTGAGTAATTTTGTGTCATCTGCAACCTTAGCCACTACTAATCTGCTCACCCCCAGTTCCAGATCTATAGTACTAGCTTTTATAATTATTCTTGTGGGACCCTACTGGTGACTTCCCTCCATTAAGAGAACTGTCCATTTATTCCTATTCTAGTTCCTTTTGTTTAACCAATTTTTAATCCATAAAAGGAACCATTCTCTTATCTCATGACTGCTAAACTTACTCAGGAGTCTTTGGTTGAGGTACCTTGTCAAAAGCCTTGTGAAAACCCAAGTATATAATGTCTACTGTGTCAGCGTTAGTTACCTGCTTGTTCACTTTCTCAAAGAACTCCAAAAAGTTGGTGAAGCAGAACTTGCCTTTGCAGAAGCCATGCTGATTTTTCCTCAGCAGGCTTTGTTCCACTTCAGTAGATTGCTACAATGTGGCAACATTTACAACCTTGTTGAAAGAGAATGACTGGCCACGTTGTTTAGCTGTGATTTCTAATGTCATAAATATATATATATAAAAGAAAGTCCCCTCACTGTAAAATCAATGCCCAGGTCGAACCCATGGACCTAGAAGCATGAAAATTGGGGAGAGCACTCCTACCATGACATAGATGCTCACTAAGAAGGGATTTTTAGAAATTAGATCCCTAAGGGGGCCAAAAGGGGTAAAATGTACTCCCCCCCATTGCTTCCTATGTGGCTGCCAGGCTGCTGCCTCCTTGTACCCCCCACTCTCTGATTGGTCAGCTGCAGAGCTCAGTGTTCTGAGGTAAAAACAGTTACAGGAGACTGCAAAGAGCTAACGACAGTTGAGGAAATCAGGAATGGCCATCCACCTGTGAGGTGCAGCAGTGCTGCTGGCCCAGCCTCCCTGATGGCTTCAAATGCGCTCCCCTTACACCTGACAGGCGGCTGTCTGTCAAGTGCAGCAGTGGGTGCAGGGTGCTTAAAGCCATCAGGGAACCCACCCCAGCAGTAATGCCTTAGCAATCCTGCTGGCCCAGCCTCCACAATGGCTTCCAATACCCCTCTCCCCTACACTGGACAGGCAGCTTCCTGTCAGGTGTAGGAGAGGGAGTGGGATGTTTACATCCATCAGGGAGGCTTGCTCAACAGGATTGAGGATTGATTGCTCAGGCGGCTGTCTGTCAAGTGCAGCAGTGGGTGCAGGGTGCTTAAAGCCATCAGGGAACCCACCCCAGCAGTAATGCCTTAGCAATCCTGCTGGCCCAGCCTCCACAATGGCTTCCAATACCCCTCTCCCCTACACTGGACAGGATGCTTCCTGTCAGTTGTAGGAGAGGGAGTGGGATGTTTACATCCATCAGGGAGGCTTGCTCAGCAGGATTGCCTCAGCGCTGCTGCTGGCCCAGCCTCCCCGATGCCTTTAAACACACTCCCCCCTCAACACCAGACCAGCAGGTGTCTGTCAGGTGTAGGAGTAGGGCCAGGGTACTTTCATCCATCAGGGAGGCTGCCCAAACAAACACCTTAGCAATGCTGCTGGGCCAGCCTCCCCAAAGGCTTTAGATACACTCCCACTCACCCCTCCTCCAACTGACAGGTGATTGTCAGTTGCAGAGCACTGAAAGCCATCAAGGAGGGTGCCCAGGCAGCATTGTCTTAACAATCCTGCTGGTCCAACCTCCCCAATGCCTTCAGACACGCTACCCCTCCTATACCTGACAGACAACTGCCTGTCAAGGGTTGGAAGGGGCGCGGAGTCCTTAAAGTCATCAGGGAGGCTTGCTTAGCAGGATTGCCTTATTGCTGCTGCTGGCCCAGCCTCCCCAATGTTTTTAAACATAATCCCCCCTTATACCAGACAGGCAGGTTTTTGTCAGGTGCAGGAGCAGGACCAGAATACTTTAATCCATCAGGGAAGCTACCCTTTAGCCACACTCCCACCCACTATGGAAATATACCCCAAATTTGTAGAAAAGTGGTTTCCTGTATCAGGTTATTTAACTCCTCACAATGTGGGTTCTGGAAAATTGGTTCATATCAACTTGCTTAATCTCTGATTGCTCGTATGTTGTTTTGAATATGTATATGTCCCACTTCTTAAATGTAACATAAATGAGAAGCATTTTTGTTAAAAAAAAAAAAGTATGCCCTGCACTCAAAAAAAAAAATTCAATGCCCAGGTCAAACCCCTGCACCAAGAAACCCAAAATAAGGGGAGTGCACTCCTACCATGACGTCAGCCCCCACTACAAAGAAATTTCTGAGAAACACGATCCCTAAGTGGGTAAAAATAAGGGGTAAAATGTGTTCCCCCAATTGTTTTCTATGTGCCTGGCAGGTTGCTGCGTCCTTGGCCCACCCCCATTTGTCAACTATGTAGCTCAGAGTTCTGAGGTAAAACCTGTCTGCTCACACTCACCTCCCTCTGATCGTTCAGCTGTGGATCTCAATGTTCTGAGGTAAAAACACAGTTAAGAGACTGCAGACGTTGAAGACAGTTACAGAAATCAGCAATTGAGCTCACCAAGCAGCCGGTCCTAGCACTTGAGGGCATAATCACCAATGTGGTCTACAGAGAGGTCCTTCAGTAGAGAAAAAAACAAGTATGTATGTCTCGCTTCATTTTTTACACTACAATTCTTCTCCATTAGAATTCCTACAACAAATGTTACATTTCAAACTTCACTTCATCAGTATTATAACTGGATTTATGGAACTTAAATATAGTAGTGAAGCATGGGTATCAGGCTAGCAATAAATATTCTCTGACCTGACCTGGACAGCCCAGGCTAGCCTGATCTCATTAGATCTTGGAAGCTTAACAAGGTCAGCCTTAGCTAGAATTTGGGTGGGAGAGACCACCAAGGAATACCAGGGTTACCCCTCCTCCAACTGACAGGTGATTGTCTGTCAGTTGCAGAGCACCGAAAGCCATCAAGGAGGGGGCCCAGGCAGCATCGTCTTAACAATCCTGCTGGTCCAACCTCCCCAATGCCTTCAGACACGCTACCCCTCCTATACCTGACAGACAACTGCCTGTCAAGGGTTGGAAGGGGCGCGGAGTCCTTAAAGTCATCAGGGAGGCTTGCTTAGCAGGATTGCCTTATTGCTGCTGCTGGCCCAGCCTCCCCAATGTTTTTAAACATAATCCCCCCTTATACCAGACAGGCAGGTTTTTGTCAGGTGCAGGAGCAGGACCAGGATACTTTAATCCATCAGGGAAGCTACCCTTTAGCCACACTCCCACCCACTATGGAAATATACCCCAAATTTGTAGAAGAGTGGTTTCCTTTATTAGGTTATTTCACTTCTCACAATGTGGGTTCTAGAAAATTGGTTCATATGAACTTCCTTAATATCTGATTGCTCGGATGGTGTTTTGAATACATAGTTATGTCCTACTTCTTAAACGTAACATAAATGAGAGGCAATTTTGTAAAAACAGGGGGGGTATGCCCTCCCTCCCCCAATTCAATGCCCAGGCCAAACCCCTGCACCAAGAAACCCAACATAAGGGTAGTGCATTCCTTCCATGACATAAAACCTCAGGAGCTGACTTAACAGATGACTGCTTCTTAAACGTTGCCTGCTCCAGAGTGAGCTCACCAAGCAGCCGGTCCTAGCACTTGAGGGCATAATCACCAATGTGGTCTACAGAGAGGTCCTTCAGTAGAGAAAAAAACAAGTATGTATGTCTCGCTTCATTTTTTACACTACAATTCTTCTCCATTAGAATTCCTACAACAAATGTTACATTTCAAACATCATCAGTATTATAACTGGATTTATGGAACTTAAATATCGTAGCAAAGCACAGGTATCAGGCTAGTTTTGCATATAATAAAATTCATTTATGGAGTGTGCTTCCTAGTAGTAATTAATGTGCACCCCCATTGTGGAAT